TGCAGCTCTTTGTGAGGCAGCTCAGGGCTGTGCCGAGTGGGAGTTGAGTCCCCGTCTGAGGGGGCTGGGCCACCCAGAGCTCAAGCTCTGCCTTGGCTCATCCTTTTACTGGTGATTGAACCCGGGCCTTCCACACACTAGGCAAGTGCTCTGCCGCTGAACTACAGCCCCGCCCTTTTATTTTGAGACAGGATCTCAGAAAGTTGCCCAGGTTGGCCTGGAACTTGGGGGCTTCCTGCCTCAGCCTCCCGAGTAGCTGGGATCAGCAAAGGGTGCCACCATGCCTAGCTCTGGCTCTGCTGTTCATTGTGCGACCCTGGTCCAGTCATGCAATGCCTGCTCCACAAACTCCTCATGTGGAAAGGTGGAATGATAACTAGGACCAGCTTCTTGGGATTATTGTAAGAATTAATCTATTGAAGATGTGTAAAAAAGACTGTGGAGGTCATGGTGTGAGCTCAGGAAGTGTTAGCAAAGGCATAATTGTTGCTATAATGTATAATAATTATACTATTATTGCTGTTCAGACCAAGGCTTGGGGAAGCCGGACTTGTACTCCTGTAACTCACTGAAAACCTTAGCTGTCTCAGAGTGCCTGCATGTTATTAGGTGCCTGCTCCTGCTCCAGTCAGTAAGTCTGCCTTTCAATATAAAAGGGGTGACAGGACAAAGCCAGGTTTTCTTAAAGGGCAGTCTGTCCTCCGGACTTTTTACTTTATCTCACTGAGTAGAACAGGTCACGTGGGCAACCTTTACTGCAATGCAGGCTGGGAAATCGTGCTTTTTGAAAGCAGGGCTCTGCTTTGGTAGACTACAGATGGAATGCAGAAGGGCAGAATCTGTCTTCCTGTTGCTACCAAGTGTGACGGTCCTCTGAGCAGGCACCCTGTACCTCCTTGCCCTTGGGGAAGAGGCTCCTGGGGGCCCCAGCCCTGGCCTGCTAGCTGGGCAGGTTGCCCTGGGGCAGTGCCGTTGGTGGCTGCCAGTGTGCCTTCCACAGCAGGCAGAGACCTCTGCTGAATCTGGGGCCTCTCAGGGGCCTGCTTCTCCACCTCTTCCTGCCCTACTTATCATCCTAGCATGCTGTGGCTGCCCAGCATCGGTGGAAGGCATTGGTGAAAAGGTACACAGTCACTGCTAGCGTTTCCATCCTTTGGCACAGGCTAGAATGGTTTCTTCGGAGATGGCAGTTCTTCCCTGTGCAGCACGCCTGCCCTTGGAGCACGTGCTGCACCGGTGCTTCATGGATGCCCTTTCTCCTTCCTTCATCTTGGGCTGTGTGGACTGTGGCCCCCAGGAGGACTTCACACAGAGTGGCTGCAGGGTACACTGCTCTGTCCCAGGCCCTGTATGTGTGCTGGGGTTGTTCCTTGTGCTTCACACTGATTACTCGTTGACAGCCACCTGCCTGTCTGAGTGACCGCCGTGGTGCACAGCGCAGCTGCAGGCCAGAGCCTGAGCTCTCTGTTCCTGCTGAGAGGAGGAGCACACACATCAGCAGCATTCATTAAGTTTTTCCCGAGGGCTCTGGTATCACAAAGACCCAGAGAGGTTCAGCGACTTGTCCGCCGTCACATAGCAAGAGAGTGGCTCTGTGAGATAGAAACCAGAGCCTTCCCCCTCCAGGTCCGTGCTGCTGAGGAAAGTGGGCTGTCCAGAGGGGCAGGCGAGCTGTGGCTGCTGCTAGGTCCCACACAGCATGCACACTTCCACATGGGCCTTATGCTTTGTGCTCACCAGGCAAGCACTCTCCACTGAGCCCCAGCCCCTGGTCCCCACACCACACCTGTCTTGCTTGTTCCCATGTCCCGTTTCACAGGTGAGGCCAGAGAGGGGATGTGGCCACCGTGCCCATCACTGGCCTGGGGCTGAGGTTGGGCTTAGGTTTGCTAGGCCTGCGGCCCTGGTCCCCTACGGCTCCCAGCTTCCACGCCCACCGGGGCCAGGTGCACTGCATAATCTGTAAGCCTCTCACTGTGCTTTCTGCAGAGTTGTTTTTCCAGCCGGGTCTCCTAAGGCTCAGTCCGCTGCAGGTGCCACACCTGTGTTCCACTGGCCCAGCTCCCACGTGATTGTTCTAAGCCTGTCGGGAGAGGTGGGGCCTCGGCTCCAAGACACCTGCTGGGGTGCACTTGGAGGACAAACGCCTCCAAGGGGCCCAGGCCCTGGCCTCATCTCAGTCCGGCTCGAAGCTGTTCCCTTCCTTTGAGGTGCTCCGGCGCATCGACCCATGAGGCCACCCGGTGGCCTGGTGCCAGCATCCCTGTGGGATGGGAGTAGGGTTGCTGGCATGAAATGTAGTACTCCCAGTTACATTTGAATTTCAGATAAGCGTGCGTCTCCAATCTAAATATTTCCGTGTACTGATGGGAACGCACTCCTGCTAAAAATGGGTCTTGTTTGTCGAAGCTCACATTTCACTGTGCATCTGGGACTTCCGTTGTTTTGTTTTGCTAAATCTGGCAACCTAAGCGGGCAGCACCCATGCAGTGCGTATGACAGCTGCCCTGGAGAAGTGACACAAGTCATGCGCTGTGGAGTTAATAATGTCCCTTAGTTATTGCAGACTGATCAGGTCCACAGTCTCCCAAATGAGGGTAAGGCGAGGGCTAAATAAACAGGGCAAATAGAATAATTTCAGGGCTCCAGGAGAATCAAAATCCTCACAGAATTTGAGATTCTGTCGGGCTAAGACCAAGACCTCCTCCAGGCAGCCAATATTATTTAGTTATCAGAATAAAGGAGGAGAGTAGGCAAGAAGGGTGGGAATCGCTCAAGGACTTCTCCAGGTAATGTATTAAGTTGATCCATCCCAGAGAGAGGTGCCTGAGGCTACAGTCTTTATCTAGTTGAGGGTGGGCCAGGCATCCTTGGCTATTACATTGCGTCGTCTTTTGAGGCTGTTCCGGTTTCACCCACCATTACAGGCCTCAGCTGGGATCAGTGACTCATAGTGGCTCCCTTACTATGCATCCGCTGCCCATGTTCAGGTGAGGAGCCCAGGCCGTGAACAGACACCTAAGTGAACAAGGAAAGCCAGTGGGTTCATTGAAGTCCTGCTCAGAACTGCTTCGGAGCGCTCTCCGTCAATATGCAGAGTCATGAGGAGGCCCTGACCGGGCCTGGATCGCAGCCTTCCTCATAGACAATCGTAAATGACCACGGTCACTTCCTCATGATGGTATGAGGAAGCCTAGAAGTCCTCTAAATAAAATTAAACAGAAACAAAGCCACTGTCCCTGTCCTCTGTCTGCATGGTAATGTTTTATACAGGGACACACATCAGCAGTCACTCTTGATCTTGAAATAGCCACTTGGTGACACTGGGAACAACAGAACACCCTAGCAGGATGGGTAGCTGGAAAGCATTGGTGTAGGGGGAAAAATTCCAGAGTTTTGGATCCTGCTAGAGATGGCAAGCCAGAGCAGGAGCACGAAGGGGTGACCAGGTGATGACCTCCAACATTCTGACTTCTCCAGCCACCCTCTTGCTCCTCCTCACAGTCTCCCCAGGTACTGGGGCTCAAGGCTCTCTTTTTTCTTTTTCTTTT